TATATATATATATATATATATATATATATATATATATATATATATATATATATATATATATATATTACTCGCCGATGACTAATTTCTTGTTCAGACTATTCCAGTAAACAGTCCACTTGTGCAGCGATTATGAGTTTCAAAATGATATGTTTCGATTGAAAACGTACAATGCTTCTAGAACGTTGCAAGAATTTGGACGATTTCTGGCCTCTGGGATGCGCTTTTAACCAAAAGGGTGAGAATAAGTGATTATATGCTTCTCACACTCAGGCTGATGATAAATAGAATTTGGTAATCTGTATTGAGTCGGTTTGCGAAACCATTTGTGCCTACATTTCTGTCAATGACGTGTTTATCGTTTAGTTGAGATAATTTTGACAAACATGTCATACACAATGATAAGATGTAAACAAATTTTGCTTAGTACTCCGTTGTCGGTTAGAATGTAAGCAATATTTCAAAATATTGAACAGAAATAAATGTTTGTTTGGTTTGCTACATAGCGCAAAGTGAATTTGTTGATGCTGTGGTAAGTAGGTAGCTTCAGAGTTTGCTGCGGTTAGCGTCGTCAAGACTCAAATAGAAAAATTTCTCACAAAATGATATATCAATATCCATCATTTGACCAAACAGCTGATGTGAGTACGATAAACATGGATGATAGTTGACAAGCTACGGAGCGAAGAAATTTGAAATGGGTTATTTTAGTGGGGCACGTAAATCATAGAAGATAAATAAAGCTTAACAGGCAATACGAAAGAATGATTAAATGGAAATGCTGTTGAAGGTCTCGTTCTAACTCGTCACGGATTGAGTACCTAGAAAGATAAACCATGTACTTTGCCAACCCATTTGTGGAGATGGGAGGATCACCGTAGATTGCTTTCTATGGCGATTCAAAATTATTTGGTGTCTGGTGTTTTCGATACGAGTGCTGCGGTTGAGATTGCGGGTTCCGTTGGGTGTTCAGATTGCGAAGTACTCAAAATGCTTATGTCAATTTTAGATGCAGACCAGATTGGTTTGAAAATAATTTCACTTATGAAAAATTGAGAGCTCGACATGAAATGATGACTTCCGTGGTTGTCGCTGTTTAAACGCATGACGTCAAGTTTCAACCAAGCATTTGTCGACTAGGCCAGGACAATTTGAAGACATGATGGTCGACATACTACTAACGTTTTCTCATTTTGATCAACCACATAGAATAATCTGATCATTGAGCGATCAAGCTTTAGTAACAATGGTAAGTAAACATGACGAGAACCTAATTTTGTACGACGAAGAACCAGAGACGCTCCCATAGCCAACTAAGTGTCTAGCTTCTCCAACCGCTTACCATTTCGGTATAAGTCCAACCATCGATGGTTCAGAGGATGCAGTCGAATCGATTTCATTCGTTGTAGTTTCAGTTACATGCAGCTTTACCGGCAGTTTGGTTTGCTGTCTTCTTCAACACCAAGAGGGAGGATGACAAATTGCAGTCCTGATGCTTGGACTTTGGCTCAGAAGTTGTGAAAGCGTGTGAAACCGATCACAGTGTTAAAAGTTTTAGAGGTTGCGCGTGTTGCGGTAAACAATTTGATCCAGGGAAAACTATGTTTTCAAAAAATGTATTTTGCAAATTTTGATCTTTAGGACTGTAAGTTGTCATCCTATATTGATAATCAAATCTGTTGTTAGGTATGGGCTTGATTGAGAATAAATGAAAACTATTTTGTTCGCCTTACTGTGTTATCCTTAGTGTCTCCCGAGGGGATTTTCAGATAAGTCTGGCAAACTAAGATTGCAAGGAGGTTGATTAGATATACCAACACGATTGACCAAAGCACTCAGTCATAAGATTCAATGTCTCTAACTATCGTTCACGCT